GATGAACGTTGCGAAGATCAGTTGGCGCGGGCCGCTTGGGAACACCTTGGAGCCCTCTTGGGCCGTCTTCGAGGCACCTCGGGTCGTCTTGGGCCGTCCTTGACCGTCTCGAGGCCCTCTCGGGCCGCGGCGCGGCCGGCGGGGCCACGACGACCAGGTGAAAACATGTCTCTGCATCGTGGACAAATTGGTCAATTCCGCACTTGGGGACAGTGGGAGACCGTGCGGCCCCGTCGCTCTGACGCGGTGCTCTGGGCGGCTTCGAAACAGGCGCCGCGCGAACTTGGCTATGCATCCGCCTTGCTGTCCAACGGTTCGGATCCGAACAATAGGCGCTGTGCTACGCGTGACTTCAACAACGAATAGAATTTCCAAGCAGTAAAGCGAAAATATCAGCCTTGCTTCTTGGAGGCGGGAATCTCCGCCCTACTTCTTCAATTTCTTGATGGATTTTCGACGCAAAATTGAATTTGGAAAAAAGAAGACAGATCCGGAGTCAGGGAAGTCTGGGGGGGGACGGTGGTAGAACCTATCTATTTTTTAGAAAGGAGAATCTACGTTGCGCAACACATGCTGCGCAAGAGTGGGTGGAACCATATATTTGTAATGGACTCTATGTGGTGCAAGTCACCTTGTCGAACTTGAAGCTGTCGACTCCACTGCTCGCGCTACCATCCCACCCACCCACCCGCAACTTGGTTCACAAAACCCAGGCGGAAACGATTGTAATGAGTGCTTGACGTTGGTAGGTGATCTCTGCGGCCGCGCTAGCCCGCGCATGCTCGCGCGCGGAGCGGCCAGCTAGTTTGGCGCGACCGACGCGAACGCAGTGGCGCTGACCGCTTGGCGCATCCCAGCGGGCAGCTGAATGCGAGTCGGTGACTTGGGCGGGCGTGGTATCATGGACGGTAGACCGGTAGACGCGATGATGATAGTAGCGATGCTGGCGACGATGCTGACAGCAACGCAGCCAGTGACGGCGACGATGCTGCTCACGCCGACGGCGATGACGGCGTCTTCGCGTCGGTGATGAAGGTTTTGTAAAGAGTTCGACATGCGCGCGCGGCCGACGCGCGAGAGTGGCCCGCATGGTATTTTTTGACACGGATCGTGCCACCCCATCACGCGCGCAAGGGCGTTCGAACGATTTCGACATGCGCGCGCGAAGCCCGTTGGGTAGCATGTTATTTATGAACCTGTTGAAGAACCAATGGTTTTCTTAAGAATGCGCAAGAGCGCGCGCAAGCTTGTTTTGGAAACCCGCGTTGCGAAACTATTTGTTTTTAATGTTGTCTTGACACTTTATTTGACATCTTCATGGGACTTCAAGTGTTTGAAACATGTCCGCATGCGCGCGCGACGACGCGCGCGCGTGCACCTCGTCCGATCTATTGCAAGGAATTTTTGGAAACTGATGATGTTTGATATACTTGTGCGCGCGCACCGTATTATTTTAAAGGATGGCGGTGGGGTGGATACTGGCTCGACCGGGATGGTGTGGGTTCATATTTCGGATGGACGATGGGGCAGAACCAAATGTAACTTGCAATGCAACCAAAAAAATATCCCGGTGGGGGGTAGGAAGGATGATAAACGAGGTGTGACATATGCTGCGTAATTCACTTTAACTGTCTTGAAGCTGCCCTCTCCACTGCTCGTGTAAACATCCCACCCTCCGACCCCCAACTTGGTCGCAAGACCTCCCAAGACCGTGACAGTAGGTACCACATGGCACTTGGCAGCGACACCGACGCCGACGACGACAGCGACGACGACGACGACGACCACTACGACGACACCGACGACGACTCCGACGGCTTCGACGACGACGACAAAGACGACGACGACGACGACAGCGACAACGACGACGACGACGACGCCGACGCTGAGGACGACGACGACGACGATGACGACGACGACGACGCCGACGACGCCGACGACAACGACGACGACGCCGACGACGACGACGACGCCGACGACGCCGACGACGACGACGACGAAGACGACGACGACGACGGCGACGAGGGAGGAAGGATAATGACGACGACGACGACGGACGACGACGACGACGACGAGGACGACGATTGACGACGACGGCCATGACGAGGAAGGAGGGAGGACGGCGACGCCGACGAAAGCAAAGGCTTTGAAAGAATTTCGTCTTGCGCGCGCGCATGTGGCCCGCATGCTATTATTCGATAGGGACTCGCACCAGAAGCTCATATTAAATCAACGCGTGGGCACCGCAGGTGCCCCGCATGGTATTATTTGACCAGGAGCGTGCCTCTGGCAGGTGCGCCAGGGGGTTGGAACAAGTTCGACATGCGCGCGCGAAGGCCTCCTTGGACAGGAATATTGATTAAGTATTGGGTTTCCTGGAAACCCGCAGAAGCGATGGGGGTACACAGTTAAAAAATCGTTGGTGAAAAACCATTGGACGTTCGATGGTTGTATATTGAAATCGCTCCGAGAACAAAGGTTGCTGAAGGAGTTCGTCGTGCGCGCGCGCACGTGGCCCGCATGGCATTATTTGAAAAAAAGATTCGCATCACAGGCTCATCTTAGATCAACGTATATGCACCGCATGGTATTATTTGACAAGGGTGAGGGGGGGGTCGAGGCCGGCTGGCCTGGGATAGTACGAACTCATAAGGATAATGAGTGAAGGTTCACGATCATACATGAATTTCCAATCGAATCGCGTGGCAGATAACCCCGGGGGGGCGCTGGGGGTAGAATCGAATTTCTTTCAAGAAGGGAAAATCGATGTTGCGCAATATATGTGGTGCTAACTACATAGGGCAACCTAGGTGGTGCAACATACGCGGCGCAATCGACATGGTGCAGACGACGCGGTGCAACATGTGTTGTGCAATCTGTTTTGTGCAATATTTGTGGATCAATATATATGCGGTAGAAGCTACGCAGTTCAATTGACTACCCCGCGCCGCGCTTGACCACCTCCACTGCTCACGAAATCATCCCACCCACCCACCCGCAATTTGGTTTGCAAAACCCACGCGGTGGCGATTGCGATGAGTGCTTGACGTTGGCTGGTCGATCTCTGCGGCCGCGCCAACCCAGGACGCGCGCGCAGCGGCCAGCTAGTTTGGCGCGACCGACGCGGCCGCAGTAACGCTGACCGCTCGGCACTTCCCAGCGGGCACTTCAGTACGAGTCGGCGACTTGGGCGGGCGGGCGCAGTATCATGGCAACGCCGACAACGGTAGACACGATAATTATAGTAGCGATGTTGGTGGCGATGTTGACAACGACGACGGCGCGGCCAGTGCGGGCTCCGATGCTGATCACGCCGACGACGATCACGGCGTCCTCGCATCGGAGATGAAGGTGCCGGAAAGGAGATCGCCATGCGCGCGCGGCCGACGCGCGAGAGTGGCCCGCATGGTATTCTTTGACACGGATCGTGCCCCCCCAAGCACGCGCGCAATGGCGTGCGAATGATGTCGGCATGCGGCGCCAAAGGCCTGTTTGACATAATTACATGAAAATGTTGAGAAACCGATGGTTTTCTGAAACGTTCGCAACAGCGCGAGCGCACGCTTTTTAGAAAACTGTTGTTGCAGAGCCGTGTGTTCTTATACGTGTTTTGGACACTCGGTTTTGACATCACGACACCGACAGTTCTTTGACGAATTTCAGCATGCGCGCGCGACGACGCGCGCGCGTGCACTTCGTCCCATGTTTTGCAGAAGGGATTCTCGCGACGGCACGCGCGCAAGGGCGTTCGAACGATTTCGACATGCGCGCGCGAAGCCCGTTTGGTAGCATGTTATGAAAGATGTTAACAAAAACCTATGGTTGTCTCAAGCACCCGCAAAAGCGCGCAAGTTTGTTTAGAAAATCCGCGTTGCGAAACAATTTGTTGTTATATGTGCTTTGGACACTCGGTTTTGAAATCTTTACGACAACAAAGGCTTTTGAAGGATTTCGGCATGCGCGCGCAACGACGCGCGCGTGTGTACTTCGTCCCACTTGTGGCAAGGGGGTTTTGAAAACTGATGATGATTTATAAACGAGTGTGTGCGCATGCATGTATGTATGTATATATATATATATATGTATGCAGAGGATGGCGCGGGGGGCGGGGGGGGGCGGATGCCGGCCCCCCTGGGATGGTGTTGCTCCCCGAGCACTGCCAACTGCGGCGCAGCTGTCGCCACCCTTCGTGCGCTCATGGGAAGTCAGCGAGGAATGCCACGCAGACCCACACGAGACCTCGGTGCTCCCGGAGCTGCCAGCTGCGCAACTGTCGCCGCTTTCGTGCGCTCCTGGGAGGAGAAGGAGTGGCACGCATATCCAGACTAGACCTTGCTCTCTCTGGTGGGCTGCCAGCTTCGCAACTGTCACCGCAGATAGGTGGCTCACAGAGGTGCCCATCGGACCCGCACACATAACATCATTGGCAGCCGATTCCGTTAGTTCTTCAAGCCTTCCAGATGACCAGAAATCGTTTCCCTGGAGGAGGGGGTAGGAGGAGCAGGAGGAGGAGAAGGAGGACGATGAGGTGGAGGAGGACGAGGAGGAGGACGACGATGACGACGAGGAAAACCCAGGCCGTCCAGATGCCTAAACAACATTCCCCTGGCCGAAGAGAAGGACTGCGATGAGGACGAGGACTGCGATGAGGACGAAGACATGATGCGCTCCTCGTATGGAGAAATGCTAGGGTACGTCATGTGATGCACATGCCAAGTTCGTCACTTGATGCGGGATCCGCTGATCACGGCGAAGCTGCTGGGACCTGGGAAGCTCAAAGCTGAACCTGGAAGAGGCCTCCTCCTCCTCCTCCTCCTCCTCCTACGACTGCTCCTCCTTCACATCATTTAAATTATGTCTGGAGGGACGCAGTCGAAAGATTTCCACCCTGCAACCCCTAAGGTTAAACACCGACTTCTGCCCAATGCCTCTAATGAATCAAAGGAGATACTCAGAGGCACCGACAAACCAACACCCAATAATCAGCTGTTCAAAGCGTCCTGCTGCCACTCTTCCACAGGATTGTCCCACGTGCTCACGCCGAGAGTCGCGTTGTAGTAATACTGGCCTCCGTCACCCTCTCCATGACTCCGATCGGCCATCAAAGGATGCGACAAACGCTCCGTGACAACTGCGGACCAACTCACCAGAACCGGCCGCAGATGTACTGACATGTTCGTGAGCAAGATGGAGCGGAGGTTGAATTGCAACACATTTGGATGGTGGGCCTATCCTCGAAGCTGGGAATATACACGATACATGGCTGGATGCAGGTGTGAAACATCTGGAGGCCCCACCTGCTGGGCACGTGTCTGGGGCACCATCGTGCATGACCGCACGAGGACGAACGCTGGAGAGGCTCCTCCTCCTCCTCCTCCTCCTCCTCCTCCTCCTCCTCCTCCTGGTCCAGCTCTCGCCCACGCTGGCCACGCCGTGCACCTGGCTTCCTGATAGCCCGGAGCCCGAGGAAGCCGAGCCACCCGAGGCCCGAACTCTAGGCGCCCTGCCCGACGGCCAGACGAGACTGGCGCCCCCCTGGGCCGCCTGGGTCGAAGGATCGCGCCGTATCGGCAATGCATCGGCGACGTCGGCGACGCATCAGCGACGTCGGCGTGGGGAAAATCGGGCTTCACATCGAGCTCCAGCGTCGATGCATCGGCGATGTGGCGCGATCCTCCGACCCTATCAACTCGGACCCCATCTAAGAAGCCCAGACCAGAAGCCTCTGGAGGCCTCTGGGGACCTTCGGGGGTCAGGAACCGGGTCGGCAGCAAACGGACCCAAACCCCCGACGTCGTGACTTTTTCACAACGTTCCACTGCACCGACCTTGCAGACGTGCTGCAGCTGATTTTTGCGTGGATTTCTGCCAATGCAAAACCCGAAACAGCGAGTGAAAAACGACGTGAATTTCGCGTAGATTTTCTGTTGGTCTTCATTCCTGGGCAAAAAACTGCACGAAATTCACCTCGAAATCCAGAACGAAACTCTCCAGGATAATCGGGGCCCCTCCCATGGTTTTTCCGACTGAAATCATTGTTCTGCGATGTGGGCTGGACCCACTCCCCAGGACTGGTTTTTCATCCTGAGTCGTTTCTTGACTGCCCCGAGGCCCAGGAAGGGTTCCTCCCCAGAGTCCAAAAAATAGCGAAAAAACGCTCGTCGTGACTTTTTTCACCACGCGAGGGGGTCTGGGGATACGGCAAGTTTGCGTCGTGACGACTTCGGCGCTGGTTCCCGACGCCGCGCTGGTCGTCCAAACCCGGAGCGGTCGTGGGGCTTCCCGATCGCGTAGATCGTTCGAGCTCGGCCGACTCGGGGTTTCTGGCGGCATGCTCAACCTTACACGCTCGCGCTGGGGTCGCCACCGCGTCAACACGGCACGGACCTGCCGCGTGTAAGACGAAGCCAGGACGAGGACAAATTCGGGTGAGGATGAATCGAGAATCTCTGGGATCCGCCGGCTCTGGAGGATGTATCGGGCACTGCGGCCTCCACAGAGTGTCCAGAGCACTCTGAGAGCGTTCGCGAACGCTCTGGAACGGATTTATCCTCGAGGAGGAGGAGAAGGAGGAGGAGGAGAAGAAGGAGAAGGAGGAGAAGGAGGAGGAGGAGGAGGAGATCAGGAGATCAAGGGCGTGGAAGCGCAGCCCGTCAATCGAGCCGCGCCCCGCAAGCCCTCTGACGAAGACGATGAAGAAGCCGAACGGCGCCACGCCGTTCCGCCGCGTGCGCCGCGACCTCGGGTGGGCCGCGCCACACCGCCGCCGCCCCTCGGCCGCTGGTGGGCCGCACCGCAGCTGCGGATGCCTCCGCCTAGCCCTCCTCGCCGCTGAGCGGGGGCGAGGGGCTCGGCGGTGGCAGCGGGGAGGATCGCGAGGCGGGCCCAGCCTACTCCTCGTCGCTGCTAGGCCCAGCAGCGCCCACGGGCGGCAGCGCTGCCGCGCCAGCGGCGCCAGGCTGGCCAGCGGCCGCCTCCCCCGCGGGGTGTCCGTCGCGCTGGTTGCTGGGCACCGCGCCTGCGGCGGCCGCACCCGCGCCCTGCGCCTGTGCCCTCCTGCGCTCGCCAGGCGCCCAGCCAATCCTTGGTGCGCCAGGAGGACGCCCTGGGTCGGCCAGCAACTGGCGCAGGGCCACCGTCTCGCATCTCCGCATGGAGTCGGCCATCCACGCCTGGGAGAACGAGAAGCCGCTGCGGCATCGCCTGAACGTCCTGCGGTTGACCCCGCCACGCGCCCAGGCCCTGTCGCACATGTCGCGGGCCAGCTGCGCCGCGGTGCGCCCCATGACGCCCGCGAGCGCGCGCCGCCGCGGCTGGCCCAGCACGGCCTCGACGTACGGCACGCCTCCAGTCGACCGCCAGCTGCTCCTCGGTGAGGGTGGTCTCCAGCCACCAGTGCGCCCGCCCATCGCGCAAGCCTCCTCTCCGTGGCGGTTGGCCTGGGCGGCCCGCGCGGCAGCGGCTCCCTGGGCTGCCGCTTGGCCACCGCCACCGTGAGCCTGCGGCTGCAGCTGGCGAAGCGCGCCGCAGGCCGAGGCTTCGGCCTATCCTGCCGCAGGAGCGCCACGCAGCGCACTGCGCCTGCGGCCGTGCCGCGGCTGGCCTCGCGCTCCTCGATCCGCTGCCGCAGCATCGCGAGGCGCGCCTGCCGTGGGAGGCCGCGAGACCGCTCAGCTGCCGCGCGCACCGCTGCCGCTGCCAGCATCCTGCTAGCCTCGCACGCATGCGCTGATGCCAACGGCTGAGGCGGCGTCGGTGGCGGCGGGTGCCCAGCGCTGGGCCGCGCATGCAGCATCCGCGTCGCGCGGCTCTGTCATCCGCCCCAGCGATGCAGTCTAGCGACTGCGGCCCGCTGAGGCTGCGGGGCGGCGGGGGCATTGGCGAGAGCCGCTCTGGGATCAGAGGCTCGCACGAAACCAGGCCGGTCTCCCGCGCGGATCGACCCGCAGCCCCCGCCGTCCGCTTTAGCGCCGGGCTGCCACCGCCGTGCGCCACGCTGGCCGCGCGCGCAGCTGCCGCCGCCGGCATCCTGCCAGCCTCGCACCTTGGCGTTGGTGCCGGCGGCAGACGCGGCGACGGTGGGGGCAGGGGCCCAGCGCTAAGCCGCACTAGCGATTCACCCTCGCCTCCACGTCGCGCGGCACCGCCATCAGGCCCCGCGGCACGCGGCGCCCCGCCCAAAAAGAACACGGAACCGAGGAGGGTTGGAAGATACAAGGGACTTCTCATGGAACGGAAAGAGCCCGCTCTCACGGTCTGGGGCTCCATGGCTCAATTCCTAAGGGTGTCTTCGCGCGCTGTTTCGCCGAAGGGTTCCGAACCCCGCAAGGGCCAGTGAGGGAGGGGCCCCAGGGAGGCTCTGGACTGCTCGCGGCCCCCCCCGCGTGGGTCATCCGGAGCCCCATGGGGGCGAGGCCTGCGGGGGTCGGGCGCAGCTCCCAGGCAGCTGCTCGCCCCCGCGCATCTGGAAGCGGAGGCGGAGGCGGGAACAAGGGGGGGCGGAGGCGGACGGAGGCGAGGCAGACAAAAAAAGAGGAGAGGAGGAGGGGGAAATAATCAAAGAAAACATCGAGCAGCCGGGCTTGTAAGACCACGCCCGGCATATTAATAGTCCGAGCCTGGCTTCGCACCATGGAGCGGTCGCGTGGCTGCCCCTGGCTCGGGGGCGGGGCTGCAGGGCGCTCCAAGAGCTGCGCCCTGCCCCGCCCAGCCCAACACGCCGCCCCTCCAGCCGAATGCGGACCCGCCCGCGTTGCCCCACCAGCAACGACACGCCCCCCCAGCCTCGCGCCGACGGGGCCCGAATGCCCGCGGCACTCGGAGGACCCACGGGCGCCGCAGCCGACAAGCCAACCACTGCACCAGCCACAGCCCCAACAAAATTTGGCGACGCTACGCTGCCCCTCTCGCCGTTTACCGCGCGGGTGCACCAGTGGGCAGGCGCCGGCAAAACGTTCGGCGACTCAGCCCAACCCCTCGCGCTACTCACCCCTTGGATGCTCCTGGAGGCTGGGACTTGCGTTCAAACCGCTGCCGCCTCCTGCTCCGTGGCGGCATGGGGCCTTGGCGAGAGCCGCTTTGGGATCAGCGGTTCGCGCGAGGTTGGTCCGATCTTCCGCGCGGTTCGACCCGCAACACCCACGCCTCCACGTGTCGCAGCAGCGACCGCGGCACCCGCCACGCCGTCCATCTCCTGCGGCTCGCCGACGCCACGCCCGCGGATGCCCTGCGTGGGCCGCTCACCCAGCCCAGGGGAAAGCACGTTCCTGGCCACCTGGGGACTCAGTCCAGAGGAATGCACACCTCTGGCCACCTGAGCCAAGAACTGTGCAGACTAGTAGCTGTCCGTCTCCGTCGTCCGAGCCTGGCGTCTCGCCCGGGAGCGGTCGCGTGGCTGCCCCTGGCTCGGGGGCGGGGTATAGGGTGCTCAGAGAGCTGCCCCCCGCCCCGCCCAGCCCAACACACCGCGCCCTGTCGACTGCGGACCCGCCCGCGCTGCCCCTCCAGCAACGGCGCGTTCTCCAAGCCTCGCGCCGACGGCGGCCCGAAGGCCCGCGGCGCTCGGGGGGCCCACGGGCACCTCAGTCGACACGCCAGCCACTGCGCCGCCTTCGGTGGGGCCATCCTCACCACTGCTGCCGTGCTGGTGGGGCCCGCTGACCGCGCTGTCGCTGCAGTCAGCCTCGCTATATGCAGTCATGTCATGGGGCTCTGCAGTGGGTCCGCCTGCACCCCCGAACGGCCTGCCAGTCTTGGGATCCATTGCCCTCAGCGGCTTGTCCCGCGTGGCATCCAGGTTGGGGATGCAGGCGCGCGCGTAGTGGTCTCTGCTCTGCTGCGGGCCACGGCAGGGACGCTGCAGACCACGCGCAGCCCGCGTCTGCATCTATGCTACGCAGACCTCGCAGAAGACGGCGCAGCACGTCGCAGCCGATGGCCCCCGTGCACCAGCATGCCCCCGTCGGCGTCGCACCACGGGTCGCCGTCGACGAGTGGCGGGTCGCCCTCGTCGCCCTCGGCCTCCCGCATCGCCGCGACTGCCCGAGCCCCCGTCCCCGAGACCACGCGCACCAGGGCTCCGAAGTGCAGGACCTCGACACCTGCCTTGATGCGAGCCAGCGCCGACGGCTCACGTGTTGCCCTGAGGAACTGCTGCGACGCCGCACCAGACCGCGCCCGCGATCGCCTGCCGCACTCCCTGCAAAGCAGCCCACGGCGGCCACCCACGTCCACCAGCACGTGCTCCACCACCGCCACGCGTGGGCATGGTCCTGCAGGTGGCGGCGGTACCGCCCTCACACGCTGCTGCCACTCGCTGGGCTGGAGGCATCGCTGCATGATCCAACCGATGTAAGCTGCCACCTTTTTGTAGTGTTGCACCTCGATCCCGTATGCGTCCACGTGGACCTGGGCCACCGTGCGTTGCAACGCCACTTGCTTGGCGAACCAGTCCGCGCACATGTTGCCCGCGTAGAGCATCGGGTGGATGTCCAGCTCCAAGTAGCCCTGGACGTCCTTGTGGGCTGGAATACAATACACGTTGGCGCAGACTCCTCCACACAGTGGCGTGCGCGGCCCTCGCCTGCTCAAGCTCCTCGCCCCACGAGCCCGCCTCGCGCGCCAGCGCCAGCAAGTCCGTGGCGACGAATTCCACCTGCGACGCAAGGAGATGCACCGCCTGCAGGAGCGCGTGCCGCTCGGCGCGCCACACAGTCTGGAGCGGGCCAGGCAGCGCGCCGAAGGCCGCGCGCACCGGGACACCGTTGGCCCCAAAGTGCACCACCGACCAATCACAGCGTCTCTGCTCGGGCATGCTGCTGGCGAACCCCGAGCCGTCTGTGAACACGATGTTACCGCGCCGCTCCGCCGATCGCCCCTGCCAGCCGCCACACGGCCTAACTTCGGCCTCGTGCGACGCTGGTGGCACGCGCGGCGGCAAGACTGGTAGCCCGACCTCGTGCTCAAAACCTCCGAACTCTGGCCTGTCTTGCCCAAGCTGCAAGCCCTTGTCTCGCATGCTGGTCTAGACCTACTGAAATTTCTCAGGCAAGACTGTCTGCTCTTCTTCGCCATGCCGCGCCATGAGCAGCGCCTCGCATCCATAGAGCCTGTGCCCAGGGGTGTCGGCCCCGTCTCCACAGGCCAAGCACATCGCCGAGTCCGCCAGGCGCACCTCGTGGAGCCGCTGCCTGGTCCACGGCTTGCCCGCCCGGTGAATCCTCAAGCTGGTGGCCGCTGGTCCTTCTGGAAAATCCGTACCCTTGCCGCCCGCGCATAGGCGCAGCACGCGAAGCCAGAGCTGCCATGCTGGCTGCAGCTCCACAAAGTGCCCCATGATCTGTCGCCACTGCTAGCGGCTCACCCCCGCAATCAGGAAGGCATTGAGGTCCGACGGCGATGCCGTGAGCAACTGCATCTGCTGCTCCTCGTCCGTGACCAAAACTGTGCTGGACCACGTGTATCATCCAACCCGCCATAGCCCGAGCGTCGTTGATGAAATCGGACCCCTGGCCGACGCCCACGACGGCCGCCCAATCAACTTCTCCGTGGTGGTGGCCCACGCCCTCTGCAGCCGCCCCAGGGTGGCGCGCTGGTCCCAGATCCAGCTCGCGAACCTGACCACGAGCGCCACTGTCGCTTCGCAGATGGGGTCGTAGGTCGCGCAGCGCTGGGTGGCCATGTCGACCGTGGACCCCGCAGGTCCTGGGCGCGCGCCCACCAGCCGACTGGCCTCGGTCCCCAATCGCCTCAGCTCGTCGTCCGTGATCCCCGCGACCCCCGCTTCGTGGCCCGTGCTGGGAAGCAGCCCTGTGCGTCGCAGGCAGGCCACCTTGCGTCCTGCTGCGCGCTGCAGCGCGGCGATCCGCCCTCGGCGCCTCGCCAGCGCCTGCAGGCGGATCCTGGTCTGCCGCCGCTCAAGCCTGCGGCCTCCGAGGTCGTGCCCCAGGTTCCGCGATCAGCGCAGCCGCTGCAAGCCCCTCGAACCCGCGTGCCGCTGACTAGCGCGCGCGAGGCCTATCGAGGACGTCAGGGGGCCTGGCTTGGCTGGCTGCGCGATGATGCCGAACGCCTTGGCCTCCTCGCGAAGGTGGGCGGCGGCGGCCCGCAGCAACTGGGCGCTGCGGCCCGCCTCGCCGACCCACTGCAGCGCGACGTCGCCCACCAGCGCCCTCGGCGTGACCCCCATGCCGCGGGTCCGCTCCAGCAGACCAGCGCGCGCGCATGCGCGCATCCCGCAAGCACCCCCTGCGCCGAAACCACTTCGTACGAAACCGATTCGAACGCCTGCAGCCTACCCGGCTGATGGCACAGCTCGATGAGAAGCCGTACTAGGTGCAGCGGCATGCGCAGCTGCCGCGCCTCCTGGAGAAGGGCAGCAGGGACCACTGTCTCGAAGGACTTCCAGGCGTCCATGGGGGCAGTGATAACCTGCTCCTGGAGGTTGACCGCGAACTCCGTCTCCAGGTTCAAATCGAACGCCGCGTCGGATGATGACCTGCCAGCTCCCAGCCCCCAGATGTCCACGCTGGGGCGCTGCCGCAGCCAGCCCCTGGAGACCGCAGCGCGCGCCCGCGACCGCCACCTCACCAAAGAGCGCATGAAGGTGATGAGTCGGCATCCGACCGGCGGCTTCGGCAGCCGTCACATGGCGCGCCAGAGGGGGCCCTCAGGCCAGGCCCCGAGCCCCCCCGTCCACATGATCAGCTGCGCGCGCACGTGCATGCCCTCGTCCGAGTTGAAGCCGAGGGCCCTCATGCCGATCTTGGCTGGCCCTATGGCCGAGCTGCGTGGGAAGGAGAGCGCCGCCTGCCTCGGCTGCTCGACCGTGAGCTCGGGCATCGGCTGCAACCCATGGCACAGCCACACCTTCCCCCGCGCATTCACCTCGCGGTCGCGCACGCGGCGGGGGCTCGCCTCCTGCTGCTCGCCGTGCCAGGCAGAGATAACATTCTGCAAGTCCCTCACCTTGGAGCCGCGGCGTGCCTGGCCCGCACCTCTGCCGAAGGCGTCGTTCGCCCACTTGGCCCAGGCCTGCTGCTGGCTCTTGAGCGCCTCCTCGTGCTGGCCGCTGGCGTACTCCACCGCGCGGGCAGCCTGCCCCACGAAGCCCTCCGACAGGAGGACGAGCAGCTGCCGCTGGAAGAAGTCCTGCACCCAGCGCGGCAAGCATAGAGGGCGCGCCGCGGTGTTGCACAATGATCTTCCGCATGCAGGCACCCGCCTCCAGCAATAACTCCGCCAACTCGTCGCGTTGCCTGCCGTCGAGCGCGCGCAGCAGGTCGGCCCCGCGGATTTGACGTAGCGCCGTGGCGACATACGCCCCGGCCCCCATGACGCAGCGAGCCCACCTCGACGCGGCGCGGCACGCCAGCGCGCTCCGCCCAAGCTGGGCGCGGCGACGAGGGGGTCTCCACGCGCGACGAGGGCCGCCTCCAGAGCACCTGACCTGCCGATGCGCTTGGCCCTGTCCGCCCCCACGTGGTCGTAGCGGTCCAGCAGCCCTTGCTCGATGGTGTCCACCACCGCGCCCCAGGCAACGGGCAGCTGCGCGGCGCCCTCGACGGCTCGCGCCTTGGCCAGCGGCCGCCGCCAGTCCTCCACCCCGCGGCCGCAGCCAATGGCGGGGCAGGCCCGATGGGCCTCCGCCCTCGGACCACGCGGACCTTCATGGGGAGGTCCTGGGCCAGCGCCTGACCTCCACAGGGAGACGCGGTGCAGTGGTGCCCTCCTCGAACACCTGCGGCTTGCCCAGACGCGGCGCCAGGTTGGCCGCGAACAGGAAGTCGTCGATGGCGGGCCACGCTCCGGCCCGCGGCCCGCAGGTCGCCGCGTCGGGCGCGGCCCGCAGCCCTCGCACATTGCGCGCCAGCTGCATGGGGGACGTTTCCGCCGACATGTTGAAGTCGCCGCCCGCGACCCAGTCCATCCCCGCCGCGCTGAGCCTGGCCAGGTAGCGGACGAAGGTTACACGGAGCCGCTGGTTCTCCTCGCTCCATCCGACGCTGTCGCGCAATCATGTCGATGCCGCAACCAGGCCCCCAGCCACTCCCCAGCGCACGTGAGCCGCAACCAGGCGCGCCTCAGTCAGCACTGGACTATCCAGGAAGGGAGGGCTGGTGACGACGACGTCGGTCCGCGCCAAGACTGCCACCCCGCCAGAGGTGCCGTCGCTCCCATGGGCGCCCTCGGCAGCCGCAGCCCACGCGCCCGCGTGGCCGTGGTCCATAATTGCGTGCTGCAGGGTGGCCAGCCTATCGTGGTCTTTGGCGTGGTGCTCCTGTGCCAGCAGCACCACCGCGTCGGGGCGCTGCCACAGCCCCCTCGACACACGGCGCCAAGGAACCACCCGCCGTGACATTCATCGTGACAATGCTGCCCTTCGCCATGGTCGGGAACCACGCGCTGAGGACCAGCTGCACCTAAATGAGGCTGGAAGCCGCCGGGCGCCAAAGCGGTGCAGCGGGCTCGCACAGCCTCCTCGTCGCCCTCATGCTCCAGCCCGACCTTCTGCAGGTGCTGCTGGAGCTGCTCCAGGGACTCCTGGCAGGGCTGCCACTGCTTGGCCTCCTCCGCACCCGCAGCCGCGGCGGCTGACTGCTGGGCGGCGGCGTCGGCCTGCGACAGGCCGCCTCCTGCGCTGCCGTCCTCGACAACGTGCTCCTCGCCGGCGGCCGTCTCAGCGGCGGGCTCCGTACGCCGTGCTCACTTGGTCACGTAGAGCTCGGCGAGCCGCTCGCCCAGCACTCCCGCCATCCGCTTCTGCGCCTCTGCTCGGACAGGCTGCTCGTCGTCGGGGTGCTCTGCCAACTGCAAGCGCGTGATGGCCTCAAGTTCCCCGACCATGATGCCAGGTCCTCCGATGACGTCCGACGCCATGGCCTGGCCAATAGCGCGGGGAGGCGGCACCTGCGGGGCCTGCTGCTGGAGCGTGGCCAGCTCCGCCTGCAGCGCCGCCTGCTGCGCCAGGAGCTCGGCGTTGCTCCGTGCGCTGCACCTCCTCCTGCGCCCGCTGGAGCGCGTCCTTGGCCTTGCGCATCGCGCCTTTCGGGCCTTCCGCCTTGTCCAGCCGCTCGGCGCACTGCTTGGCCGTGTTGGCGATGGCGTGCGTCCTGGCGTGGAGCGGCTTGTTGGCGAACAGCTTGGCCTTCGCCTTCTCGAGCCTGGCACGCCGCTCGTCGCGCGGCGCCTTGACCCAGCCCGCTGCCACGTCGTTGAGCGCCTGGAGGCCCGACTCGCACTCATTGACCTCGGCGGCTAAGGCCGCATCGTCCTCCGGCGGCGGCGCCGTCGTCGACCACCATGTCCTGGGCCCCCGCGACAAGAGGACCCCCGCTGCCAGCGCCACTGGCGCCCTTGATCTGCTTCTTGAGCTCCTGGCGCTCACGTTGCGCCTGCGCCAGCTGCACCGCGAGCAGTCCGCCGCCAGCCGCCCATGGCGGGACTTTGCCGCTCGCCGCCGCGGGCTGCTCGGCCGCCTTGCCAGGCTGGGGCAGCGGCACATTCGCCCCGAAGCACGCGTGCTTGGGCAGCCTGCACGCCTGGCACTTGAGCGCCGTCCCCCAGTTGACCACCGCCCGCCCGCACTTGCTGACGCAAGACTTGCGGGTCCAGTCCTGGCGCACGGCCCCCTTGGCGCGCGGCCCGCCGCCCGCCATCCGATTGCCCCACGGTGGGGCCGAGACGAGATGGAGATGGGCGGCAGCTCGCCCCTGAGGTTGCTGCAAGAAAACGAAAGCTTGCCGCGGACTAGCGGTATCCACTTGACTCTCCCAGGACTCTCACATCTTGAACCAAAATGGCTACAGAGAGGAGGAGGAGAAGGAGGAGGAGGAGGAGGAGGAGGAGGGAGGAGGAGGAGGAGGAGGAGGAGGAGGAGGAGCCCCGCCCGAGCCTGGGTGTCCGGAGAGTGGTGGATACGGACATGCCTCTTTCCGGAGAAGCCAGCATGCACCCGTGCCCACGGCCCACTCCTGGAGAGCTGCTGCAGAGATGGGAGCTTGGAACATTCCACTCCGAGTTTTGGACGTCGTGTTCATTCTGAAGCTCCTACTCGTCGTCGTCGTCGTCGTCCTCCTCCTCCTTCTCCTTCTCCTCCTCTTCCTCCCCGCCCCCTCCTCGTCCCCACTTTCTCCTCTTTCTCCAGCTTCGTAGGCCCTGGTTGCCAGACCCTGGACCCTGACGTCTCGAGACCAAGTGGCTGTTGGACCAGAGTCGCCAACGAATACGCGAGAGATGTCCTGGTCGCCGCCCAGACGGTTCCAGGTCCCGCTGGCTATGACTGCTGCGAGTTTCTAGTCGCGGCACTGCTGGCAATCACGATCGCTGCCTCCCTAAAGTCGGCGGCGAGCGAGGGGGGGAAGTGAGAAGGGGCGGGCCTTCTCAGGATGCTCGGAAGTCCCCCGGCCTCCTGGGAAGCTTTCTGAGCCTTCACCGAAGGCACGGACAACTTCTCAGAAGGCTGGAGGACTTCTGAGAAGCACCGTCGCCTTCTGAAAAGGCCTTCTCTGGGGATACCCAAAGGTACCGATACGACAGAGGCCCAGGAGGCCCCAAAAGGGGAAAACGAGGCTGGAAGGCTTCTGAGAAGTCCCGTCGCCTTCTGAGAATGAGGGGCAACGATAGGGGGGACCGGCATAGGGGGGTATGCATCGACCTGGAATCAGCGATACATCGCTGATAGATCGGCGATCGGCCCCCGATAGTGACTCTGCACCTTCCTGTGCAGGTGGGGGCTATCGGGCCCCTATCGGCGACCGATGGGCGATTGGGGGTCGATGTGCATCCCCCCCTACAGTGGAGGCCTGTCCACAAGAGATCTTCCACAAGAAACCCAACCCTGAGACCCCAGGACGTCCATTGATTTTTGGTGTGGGAACGGCACGCTCTCCATCGCAAAACCATCGAGACCCAAGAAACCCAGGGCACCCTGGAGGCAAGTGGGGTGTTTCTTGGCAGAAGTACCCACTGTGTGCCTATCCCCCCCTATCGTTGCCCCCGATGAGAAGGCCCTCTCCCCCCCTCGCCCGCTGCCGAGGAAGACAGCCCGAGCAGCTCCCACCCGGAGCTCCCCGCCGCGGCCTGCGTCCGAGGAGTAGGGCCCGCTCCAGCCCTCGAGCTGCGCCACGGCGCGCTGCTGCACCGCCTGCAGATGCGCCTGGCGTCTCGCCCCCTCCCCCAGGAAAGGCCCCTGCGCTTGTGATGTTCCAGCCTACTTGAGCCTGGATTGCCAGAAAGAGTTTCGAGCACCAGAAAAAGACCGCAACCATCCTTTGGTGTTGGGTCCTCCTTTTGGAGACATAGCGCCCCGCGTTCTCCCGCCTTCCTTCCGCCTCCTTCCCCTCGTCTCCTCCCTCCCTATCCTTCCATCCTTGCCTCTGGCCTCCGCCATTTCGGCACACCCCTCACACGGTTCGTGGCCCCATAGGGAGCTCCACCGAAGGCCCCAAAAGCACAGTCCGCATGGCGGACCCGCATCCGATTTGGGACACTCCTCACGCGCTTCGTTGCCCCAGGGGGAGCTTTACCGAAAGCCCCAGCGGCACAGTCCGCACGGCGTACCCGCATCCGATGCGGCACACCCCTCACACGCTGCGTGGCCCCACAAGGGAGCGGCCCCAGTGGCCCAGTCGGTATGGCGTACCCGCATCCGGCCTGTCACACTCATCACACGTTTCGTGGCCCCCGAGAGGGGCCCGGTGCAGGCCCCAATGGCAGCGCCCGCATGGCGGCCCAGCCCTATTTCGGCACACGCGTCACACGCTCATTGGCCCCAGAAGGAGATCCAGCGAAAGCCATACCCAAAACGACAGTATTCACAACTGCATGTGATTGGATCCTTCGCCAGGATAATGTTGTATGCCATGTTGGCTGTCGCGTGTTCTGCTACGGGTATGGTTTCAAAGCGGCCGCTAGAGCTACTTATATTGCCCCAGGGCGGCGGCCACCACCACGTCCCAGAAGGCCGAACGATGCCCCAACACGGCGCCAACATGGCCCAGAACCGTCCCCAAAGATAGCCGACAGGCCCAAAAGTCCCTGAGGCAGTCCCCTGACCCCAAACCTAAACTGGACCACACAGGCCGAACGATGTCCCCAAGAGGCCCCAGGATAGTCCAAAAGCCTGTAATGGGGGCCCCAAGAAGGTCCCAAGACAGGCACGAAATGACTCAGATTGGCGGGCTGGGGTCGATACGACCGAGCCTTGACGACGACGTAGGAGGGCTATGCCGCCAATCCTGGAAGCAACATGTCACAGGGGCGAGCCCAGCCGAACCCTGACAGGAACGACCACGCGATAAATCCTCCTCCTCCTCCTCCTCTTCCTCCTCCTCCTCCTCCTCCCTCCTCCTCCTCCTCCCTCCCTCCCTCCTTCCTCCTCCCTGCTCCCTCCCTCCCTCCCTCCCTCCCTCCCTCCTCTCCTCCTCCCTCCTCCTCCTCCTCCTCTCCTCCCTCCTCCTCCTCTCCTCCCTCCCTCCTCCCGCCCTCCCTCCTTTCCCCGCATCTTCCTCCTCCTCCTCCTCCTCCTCCTCCTCCACCTCCTCCTCCTCCTCCTGCTCCTCTCTTCCTCCCTCCCTCCCTCCCTCCCTCCCTCCCTCCTCCCCTCCTCCTTCCTCCTCCTCCTCCTCCTCCTCTCCTCCTCCTCCTCCTCCTACTCCTCATCCTCCCCCTCCCTCCCCCTCCCTCCTCCCCCTCTTCTTCCTCTCTTCCTCCTCCTCCTCCTCCATATTTTTCTTTGTGTTCTTCTTCTTCTTCGTATTAGCATTCTTAATATTATACTTAATATTATGATTATCACTCTTCTTCTTAGTACTATCATTATCATTATCATTATTATCATATTAATTTTATTATTATTGTTATGATTATTCGTATTATCAATAATAATATTATTATAAGTAGTATTTCTAGTATTATCATTTCTCCTCCTCCTCCTCCCTCCTCCTCCTCCTCTCCTCCTCCTCCTCCCTCCTCCTCTCCTCCTCCTCCTCCTCCTCCTCCTCCCCCCTCCCCCTCCCCCTCCCCCTCCCCCTCCCTCCCTCCCTCCTCCCTCACTCCCTCCCTCCTCACTCCCTCCCTCATCCGAGGCTGCAGCTCTACGGGATGACGGACGTGGTGGGGTGGGGAATCAGTCCGAAGAAGAGTGCCCACAGCGCAGCCAACCCCGCCCATCTACGGCCACCAAACTCACCTCGGGCGACCGAAGGTCAGGCTCCACCGCCACACCCACGAGCACAAGACGACATGTAACGAATTTCGGAAACCCTGAACCCAAAAACGTTTTCATCTCTTGGGGGCGCGTTTTTTACTTCCGCCGCCTTCCGCCGAGCTTCCGCCGGCTTCCGCTGGCGGAGGCGGCCTCGTGTTACTTCCGCCGACCTTCCGCCGCACTGCCCGGACACGGTTAGGTCGGGCATGTCCCCCTACAGACACATTTCGGACGAAAAGTCGAACAGACCCCAAACATATGCAAACATAATCAAAAAATAATCGGAACATCGTCCCCGCTCTGTTTTTGACTATTTTTGAATATTCCTGCTGAAGAGGGGCATGCCCGACTTACAGCTACGGCCACCAAACCCACCTCGGGCGACTGAAGGTCAGGCTCCACCGCCACACCCACGAGCACTGGACAACATATGATGCGCGGCGCCCCTGGCCTCGGGCGCGTGCCCGACGCCAACTGCCATCCAGAGTCTTCTGGCAAGCCGTCGCATGCTGCATGCCCTGATGTGGTGTCGTCTGCCCGTGCCGTCGTCGACGCTCGGACGCTGACAGAACGACCGAGGGTCCCCATCTGCTCAAACAGCTCTCGCCGACTCACCTTCTCAACCCCGGGCTCGTCTCATCGATCCGCCCAGCTGCTGGTAATGCAGGGGCAGCAAGCGACCACAACCACATCGAGGACACACTGGGGGGATGTCTTGCGCATGCCAAAGGCTGCCGGAACACTGGAACCAGCTCCGTACTGGTTGTGGTCGAGGTGGCGTCCCAGGATGGCCACATCGACCACAACCACAGCCAGAGTGCTCGTGTCGAGGTCGGTGGCCTCTCCCCCGAGGAGCCCTCCCGAAAAATCCACCTACAATCCTCGTCAAAATTAACCTCAAGAATATCTTACGTGGCTGAACTGTTTGTGGGGAGATACTGGTCAGAGTTGCGGTGACTGCGAGGTACTGGTATGCGCCGCCCCTCCAATGTCGGTCATCATCGAACTTCTGAGTCGTTCCCGGTCAGACCACTTTTTCCTTGGCCCCGACATTGGAGGGGCGTCTATCGACATTGAAGAGCGCGCCGACATCGCAGGGGCGTGGTCGCCATTTTTGAGGTCAACTTTGACGAGGGTAGTAGCTGTGGTTGTGGTTATTCGCTGTGCCCAGAGCTGCTCCAGCTCCGCCGCCCGCTTCCTTCGCTCCCCGCCGCGAGCGGCAGACTGCAGCCTGCACGGCCTCGGCACGCCGGATGGCGGATGCGGCCGGCTGCTCCTCGCCAAACGCGGGAAGCGGGGTTCAGGGGCACGGGCAGGCGCACAGCCCGAGCAAGAGGAGGAGGAGGACCACGAGGGGAGGACCCCCGAGGGCAGCTATCTTCGCGCTTCGCGCTCCGCGAACCGCGATCCTCTTCGCGGTGTCGCGCCGCTCCTGCCCCGGAACAGGATGAGGGACTCGCGCCTCGCTCCGAAATCGCCCAAACCGCGGAGCGCAACTAGCTTCGCACCCTCGTGGTGGCCCCAGGGACCCGGAGGGAATGGCGGAGGGAATGGCGGAGGGAGTGGATGACATACCAGGCGCGCAACGGGCAAATCGCGACATGGCGGCCGCGCGGCGGGGAGAGCAGGAGGTATTCGGCAAGGAGAAAAAGGATGAGAAGGACAAGCAAATGGAGACGGAAGTAGAGGAATAGAGAGAGAGAGACCGAGCGTACTGCGCAGAGAAACAAGCAGAGAGAGAGAGAGAGAGACAGAGAGAGGATAATGGTATGCGATGGGATCTGCGCGGCGACGAGGTAAGAGAATGCTCAACGAGAATGGGGACTTAGCGGGATCCACGGAGAAGGGCAGGACGGGCTGCGGAGTGCGAAACACATATAAGACAGGACAGCCATCGGACTAGACACCACAATATAGTAAAGACAGTCGGAACTCGGTGACAACGGCAACGGCTCCACCAAGTCATCGCATTCCCTCGCAGTGATGCTGCCATATGGGGTAACGGCATGACTTCCGTGATCCGTCCGTCCATGCTCGATCGCCCCTGCGCCACCTGCGCTCCACGTTGCACAGAAGCCGGCGCACCCGCGCTGCCCCCGCCACCCGCTGCAACGCAAACTGCTACCTGCTCCTTGCCACCTGGAGCAAGCGCACACGTGTGGTCAGACGTGCTCACCCCGTGGCACCAAACCTCGCGCATCGCGCCCCGCGATGCGCGACGCGCGATCCTCTTCGCGCCCTTCCGCCCTCGCACCGCCGTCTCGGATACGGCCAGCCGCTCTGGCCCAGTCCGCGAGGCGAGAAGCGCGGCTGCCTTGGCGCCCCATCGGGCGACCTGGGAGGAGGAGGAGGAGGAGGAGGAGGAGGAGGAGGAGGAGGAGGAGGAGGGAGGAGGAGGAGGAGGGAGGAGGGAGGAGGAATGAGGAGGGGAGGAGGGAGGAGGGAGGAGCGAGGAGGGATGAGGAGGGAGGAGGGAGGACGGAGGAGGGAGGAAGCTCCCGTGCGGCTAAAAACCGAGAGCTGTCGCAGTCTGGCAGGGCCACCCGTGCGCAACTCTGCGACGGACCTGCTCCTGAGCGCGGCGGGCAGGCCGTCGCCGTGGCGGCACGGGTGCTGCCATCACCCTCGCCCCCGTCCTTCAAGACCGCGCCCTGTCCACCGTGCCTCCTCCTCCTCCGCCTCCTCCTCCTCCTCCTCTCCTCCTCTCTCCTCTCCTCCCTCCTCCTTCTTCTTCTCTCCTCTCTCTCCTCTCCTCTCCTCCTCCTCCTCCTCCTCCTCCTCCTCCTCCTCCTCCCTCCTCCTCCTCCTCCTCCTCCTCCTCCTCCTCCTCCTCCTCCTCCTCCTCCTGTGGAGAGATGGCTTCGAAACACGAGCGAAGCCTCGGGAGGTGCTCGCAAGACTCGCAGGACTCTGAGGTTGACAGGCTGACGCTCTCTTGCCCAGCAGGGGGCGGAGTGCAAGGATGGGCGATGCCTGGGAGCGAAAAGCGAGCAAATCAAGCGCGGAAGAGATACTAGCCTAAAGCAGCACCACACGGAAGTCTGGACCGGCGGCATCCAGAACAAACCCACGCACATGGTCTATCTGCAACCCTGGCCCGCTCCGTACGCAAAGCCTTCACCAACTCCACGATTTCCTTGAATACAGAATCCATTGGGTGCGACCAGCTGCTCTCTTGAGACACCTGCGCTTTCATTGGAGCCGCACCGATGTAAGCAAGATCGCAGCAAGGAAAGTGATCAAACACTGCAACATGCTTCCGAGCCCAGACGATGTGCGATACACACGACAAGCCGCTCTACGCGAAGCCCAGATATCGATACCATCCCAGTACACATCCATGGTGTAATCTCCCACTGTTAACAAAACCATGCGCGGTGCCAACTACTTGTAAACTGTTCGGCGATAAGACAGCGAACCGTGTCCGGCTCGGGCCTCCCTGGTGCATGGTCTATGAACGTTGTTCCCATCATTGTAATCCTCCATGTCCTAAGCAGTGTTTGATTGCTGTTAATTTCGCGCCTCCGCCCCCTCACCGCACTCATACTAACGCATTAACCCATACTCGGATCCAGTCAGACTCAGACTCACCCATCCTCAGACTAAACCGACTCGCTAAACCACACTCCTACAAAATTGTATTTCAAACCACCCACATTCGGATCATTCATGATCAGACTCATCATACTGTTAATTGCTCTCACACACAATATGCATGCGGAATGGCAGAAAGGTCAAGCCGACAATTTAGCGATAACTCCTTGTTGCCTTTTCTGGCATCGCCGTTATACTAATGTGTTTCGTTATCCTTCCTCCATGCTTCTTTCTCCTCATTCTCGCCATACCCTGCGCATTATCCCCATCCTCGTTAGCTCTTTTTGCAGAGGCTCCTCCTTGGAGAGCCTCTGGGGGCCTCACCAAAGTTTTCAAGCTTTCTTACGGCCTTCTGGAGGCCTCCTGGGCTTGTTCTGGGGGCCTCTGGGAGCTTCCTCGGGCCACCATGCCTCCAACCGCGGTCTCCCGGAACGACGGGGTCGGGATTTGGAATCGGAGGGTGTCTTGGGGCCATCTTGGCCCGCCATGGGGCTCTCTCAGGGCCATCTTGGACCCCTGTTGTGCCGTTTTGGAGCTCTCTTGGACTGCCTGGAAGCCCTTTCGGATGGTTGTGGGGCGATGTTGGAGCCTGCCAGGCGGTCTCGGACGCCCGGACGACCGCCGTCTTGGAGCGTCGGGAAACCGAAAAGAAGATAATCCCAAAATTCACCAAAAAACATAATTATGTTTGCCTCTTGGGGCCTTCTTGGGAGTGCTCTTGGAGGCCCCTTGTGACGTTTTGGAGCGATCTTTGGGGATATGACGGCTTCTTGGGGGTCGTCGTGGACCGTATTGGGGCTCTCTGGGGTCGTTTCGGGAGTGCGCCAGAACGCCTGTAATCCGTCTGGGGCCGTCTTCGGGCTCTCGTGAGGTTCTCCCGGGAGTCGTCTGGAGGGTTGCCCGAAGGCCCGGGGAAGGCCAACTTCGTTAGGAATGTGTGTCTGTGCTTTTTTTATCCGGCTTTCTGGCCCATTAAAATATATGGGTGTTAATACAGATATGTATGTGTGTATGCATGCATGCACGCATGTATGTATGTTACTGTGTCTATATGCATGTGTGTATGCATGCATGTTTGTTTGTATGTATGTATGTATGTATGTATGTATGTATGTATGTATGTATGTATGTATGTATGTATGTATGTGTGTGTATGTATGTATGTATGTATGTATGTATGTATGTATGTATGTATGTATGTATGTATGTATGTATGTATGTATGTAAACAAGCATGTATGTATGTATAGATGTATGTGTGTATGTGTGTACGTGTGTATGCGTGTGTGTATGTGTGTATGTGTGTATGTATATATGCATGCATTCATGTATGTAGATGTAGGCAGGTAGGTCGGTAGCAAGCAGGTAGGCAGGTATAAACGCATGTACGTACGTCCGTACGTGTGTATGCATCTATATATATATGCATGCATGCATGCACGTATGTATGCGTATGTATGCATGCATGCATGTATGTATGTATGCATGCTTGTATGCTTGTGTGATTGGTTGTGTATATATGTATATATATATATATATATATATGTGTGTGCATGTATGTATGTATGCACGCATGTCTGCCTGTCTGTATGCATGCATGTGTGTGAGTATGTATGTATGTATGCATGCACGCATGTATGTATGTATGCATGTTCGTATGCATGTGTGCATGTGTGTATGTGTGTACGTGCATGTCTGTATGTATGCAGGTATGCTGGCATGTGTGTAGGCAGGTAGGTAGGTAGGTAGGTAGGTGGGTGGGTGGGTGGGTAGGTAGGTAGGTAGGTAGGTATATACATGTTTGTCTGTGTATACGTATGTCTGTAGGTATATATATATATGCATGAATGAATGTATGTGTATGCATACGTGTGTGTGTGTGTGATTATCCTCCTCTCTGGACATCCTTGCTGCTCCAACTCTTCGCCGTCGTTATCCTCCTGCCTTCCCCCTCCGTCCCATTTCTCTCGGCATTGCTCCATACAGGCCCAATCTGGCTCGCACTGCGCAGATGCCATGCAGCTTTCACAGTGGGGCGCTTGCCATTTCGAACGCTGATATAGTCGTTGAAAGGCCCGGTGATGCCACTTATTGCGGATGGGTTAGGTACGTCCTTGTTTGTTCGAAGCCCAGTGGAAATTATCAAGGATCTCTGAGAAAAAAGGAGGAGGCACAACGTCGTTATGGAGAGGAAGAGCAGAGGGAGGAGGAGGAGGAGGAAGAGGAGAGGAGATGCAGACTCCCAAAGGAACTATACAGCATCCCACAAGCAGTCACACTCTCGATTGGCGGATTTCGTGGGGCGGCTGGCAAGGCTCCCCTCCTGACAATATTGGCCTGCTGCGGTTATCCTATACGACGATGCCCCCGTAAAGGCTCTTACAGCTCCGCTGGACTGCGCGACTGCGACTCGCCATGGCTTTGTGACATGTTGGAGCATCCTCTCGAAAGGCGAGTCGTGCGCGGCGTTTCGTACTTGGATCTGCTCGAGCGGGCTCTCGAACCCAAGCATATCAGCACACGAAACAGAAGCAGTTGCGCAGTGGCAGCTGCCAGGAAGAAGGACAAGACAACAGAGCAGCCTGGTTGAAAAAATACACGCGCCCATGATCGTCACTATGTTGCGTCCAGCTTGGTGGTAGAGCAGCGGATAAGCCTTCCTGCACAACCTTCGGCGGCGACGACGTGTTGCCCCCCCCCCCCCCCCCGAAAAAAAGGCATCACTGCCACCTTCGGTCATTCTTGTAGTATGGCAACAATTGTGCGTGGTAGGTGTTCGAACAGCTTCATTAATCACAACACCCTGGCACGTGATACTCGTGCGCGGGACTTGTCTGAATGCTGGCAGCACGCGCGCCTCGCTCCCAAACCTGGTCAGGAAAGAGCGGGGAGCGCCGCCACTTGAGGCGCGTGCGCATGTGCGTGCGCGCGCGTGGAACGCACAGACATCTGGGACACATGCCCTACCCGAGAGGTTCCAGAGGAGAGGGCGGCTTGAGCTCCCAAGGCATGCGCTCCCAGGGACACGAGCCATCGTAAATTACCAGATATCCGCCCCGCCCCCAAGGCAGCAGACCTCGAGTGACACACAGGGGCTCCGGCATCGTAAAGAACCAAGGGCCCGCTCTCTCGAGGCGACGATTCCTCGAAATACGAAACGACATCACCATGGATCCAGCGCGCTGGTAACAAATTATTGCCCCGCGCGCGCCCAAGGCCATGATCCCGCACATGGACAAACTATTCGAACCCTCACGCACTTGAGGGGGATGTTCATCACCCCCCAGCCTCCGATATCCATGCTGAATTTAGCATGAGTAATAATTTGGGGGTTCGAATATTTATGCCCACCCATGCCGTCTCCATTGCCGCACCCTCAATGGTAATGATTTTGCGGTTCCGGGGGGGGCATCTTGGGGCATCTTGCGCCGCAGGGTTCGAACTTATTGCCCATGTACTGTTAGGTCGGGCATGTTCTCCTGCAGGCGGATTTGGGGGGACATGCACAAACACACGTCGCAAAAAAAAAACTCAAAATAGTAAAGTGTAGTTGAATAATCAACCTCTGACTATCTGTTTACTATGTTTGGGTCTGTAGAGGGACATGCCCGACTCAGATGTACTGCCCCTCGCCGAGAGCGCTGCGAGCCCGGCGCCTCCCGAAGCCAAGGCCCCCCCCGCAAGAGCGAGAGAGCCTTCCGGGGCCGCGGCTCATCGACCGAGGACTACCTACCAAACCACCCCAACCCAACCCGAAGACCCGAATTCCGCCCGAATTTCGGGTTGGGGTGGGTACAGCCGGAAATATGATCAAGAAACTTATCATTCAAGAAACCTGGGCCAAGACAAGCCTGGGCCAAATTTTCGTGTTAACAATGGAAGAGGCGAACGCGCTCAAGAAACTGGGCCGGCTTCCCAGCAAGTTGGGTAAGGAAAGCTGGCTGGGAGGAGGTCTCTTAATCATGTGCTCGACTGTACGGGCTTCATATGTGTTTTTCAAAATGTTCCCCGACCCCCCCCCCCCACCGGGAATGGAGGGCGATTTGGGGCCTTCAGATTGGGTTGGGGTGGTTTGGTGGGCGGTGAGACCAAGGACTAACCGCAAGTTCGGGTCGTGTCGACACGGCGTTGGTTCAAGCTTGAACGATCTCGGGGCCCCGTAAACCCGGACACGCTAGACCCAGACACGCAACATCCCTCGAAACGAATTTTTCCAGACGGCGGCACCAACATACTACTGCACTGTAACCTTTCCAGAATAAACCCGGGCGCAGGCCCTAAAAGCCTGCAGGACCCCCCCAAAACCCGGACGCAAACCCGAATCCTGCAGCGCAAGAAAAAAACAAAACATCACGGGCACTGGAAAGTGCGACTGTGCAAGAACGGGTGTCGCTTCCCTGCTTCTCCGTGCCCTGGTCTGTCTGTCTCCTGGCCTCCGGGGGCCTGACGGTCGGCCGTTCCGTAAACGCCGGATCCTTCAACGACGGGCCGATTCTGGGCCACGGGCGGCATTCAGCCTCGAACGCACGCGGCGGGGTCGCCGCCGGTCGGCACGACGCGAAGCTGCCGTACAGTGGAGGCCCGTCCGCAAGAAACCTTCCACAAGAAACCCAACCCTGAGACCCCAGGACGTCCATGGATCTTTGGTGCGGGAACGTCACGCTCCCCATCGTCAAACCATCGGAACCCGAGAAACCCAGGGCACCCTGGAGGCAAGCAGGGTGTTTCTTGGCATGGGCCCCCACTGTATGAGCCCGCGCTCCCGACGCCATCATCCCTGGTCATAGATATGCTAAGACGGAGCCAGGACGAGGATAACATCGGACGGGACCAATCGAGAATCTCTGAGATACGGCGGCTCTGGAGGGTGTCTCGGGCGCCGCGGCCTTGTC